AGCTCAACAGTAACAAATGCTGCTAAAGATAGAGTGTGATTACAAAAAGAAGCTGATATTTATTATATGGGATGTCAAGGAAGAACCATATTTGTTCAAATGAAAACAGCATAACAAAATCCACAATGAATAACAACTACTCCTTACCTTGGTCATTCCTGGCAAATCCACGAGTGTCAAATTGACAACACTGGGTGAAAAAATCTTCAGATGAATTGGTTCAGGGCTTACTCCCTAGAAATACGTTTTAAAATAATATATTAAAATTACATTGAAAATTCAGTTAAATATGAAATGCTACAGTAAACTTCATTTCAAGTAAATAGATACTAGGGGGCTTTTAAATATGAATTAATCTATGATCCCTACAACTTTCAGTATTCAAAACCTGATGAAACACATGGGGAATAAGGTGGCCAGCCATGACAGGTTATAATTCTATCTATCCCTATACTGTAATTTACTTCCCCTGTATTATTTCATATTCTTTTCTCTTGATTCTGGGCATATACCACTTCTTAAGTATGTTTAATAGACTGAGCAGCTAAACAAAAGAAAAATGTATTCCTCACTATTCAAGTTTATGCGTTTAAAGAGTGAGGCATATGGCTCGGCGCCTGTAGCTCAGTGTTAGCCACATACACCAGGGCTGGTAGGTTCAGTTCAAACCTGCCTGGCCTGCTAAAAAACAATGACAGTCAAAACAAAAAAATAGTCAGGCACTGTGGCAGGTGCCCGTAGTCCCAGCTACTTGGAAGCTGAGGCAAGAGAACTGCTTAAGCCCAAGAGTTTGAGGTTGCTGTGAGCTGTGATGCCACAGCCCTCTACCAAGGGCGACATAGTAAGACTGTCTCAAAATAAATAAATAAACAAACAAACAAACACACCAGTGTTCCGGAACCATTACATGTTGATATTTGGAGTTTCCTACCTAGACTGTATATCTCTCAGGATCTTTATTGCCATGGAATTCTCCTACCATGTCCAATACAAAGCTATACCCAAATGCCTTTATAATTCCAGTCCCTGTATCTTAAATACTTCAGAGCTTTATATTAGGCATATGAAACCATTTATACAATCAGACATACAAAATTACTTAAGACAGAAGTACTGTTTACTTCATTACAAACATGATTTAGGAAAGAAGAGATTTGGGGTTGGGGGACTTTTTATCATTTAGATGCTATGGATGAAAAGCTGCTAGGTAAGTAAATTATATCCTTAGCATAAATTAAACATCTTTTTTGGTGGAGGTTAATATGAGAATTAAACATTGTATGGGTATAGAGAGACTCGATCTTTAAAGACATTCCATTTAATGTAACTAAACTTCATTTCTGAATCATCATCATCTCTTTAAATTCTGGTACCGTGTAAAACTGCCACTAGTTGCTGAGTTCAGTAAATACATGGTGATTGCAGGAGAGACAATTCAGAGTCGAGTTATGACTAGTAACATTTAAAAAGCCAGTACTGGGTGGCTCCTATGGCTCAAAGGAGTAGGGCACTGGCCCCATATACCAGAGGTGGCGGGTTCAATCCCACCCCCAGCAAAAAACTGCAAAAAAAAAAAAAAAGCCAGTATTATCTCTAATATAATCATAGGACTGAGGACAAACTAATCTAGTTTCTGGCCACTACTACCCCTTTTACACAACAGAGTTATTAGAAATTCAGGGAAGTAGCAGTAACTCAAAGTTTACTAGCCTAGAGTTCAATGATGACCAAAGCTCAGTTACTAAAACACAGACAGATACCTTAAATAGGCACAAATACTTAACATGGCTCCAAAAATGCCCATCTGTCAGGAAACAACCTCTGTAGCACATGCCTGACAGATACAAGGGCTCAATAAATATTTGTTGAATATTAGCACTAAGCTAGAACCTACTTGTGGGATTAAATGTGTCTCTGGATAAATGGAAGTACACACAAAAAGAAAAGGGAATGTAAATTTAAAGAAATATATACTTAAGATATAAAGAGAAGAGTTGTAGGAATAAAGAAAGAAGACAGAAAACAAGGAATTAGGCAAAGCAGGGATAGTGCCTGGTGTCCAGATTAACAGTATCTTAGACACCTAAATGATTTTAAATTCTCATAATCTTAAAATAAAAGGTAATCAGTTGCTAACATTACTTTTCATATTAACTAAAGAAGAATGCCTAATTTTTCACTTTGTTTTCATAAATACATCTAGCCTTATTCAGGTAAGAACTCTTCAAAATATGTGTATCTCATAAGTTATATAATGCTGCCTGAGTTAATCCATCAGAAAAAGATAACCTACTGTAGCAATATTAAGTAGAATAATTATATTAGGTTATATGTACATAAGAAGATTAAGAATAAAAACCTAACTGAAATATTTGATACATTTTAAAAACTGTAAGAAACGAAAGGGGTTCTAAGCAAAGTTTCTACATCTTTCTGAATGTATTTGTTTCAAAGACCAAGATTATGAATTCACAATGCCACGTGATATATGCAACACTTCATCACTGACATCACATACATTTACTGAGGTTGTGCCTTCCAGCTCAAAAAAGATGCCTACCTTATTACTTCCGGAAATTCTTTCTGTTTCATTTTCAATTTCTTGTCGAATTTCATCAAAATCCGTGTAAAGCTAAAAATTATTGAAATAAAAGCATTATATTGAAAATAAGATCAAAAGTTTTCACATTGAGGGAGTGTCTGTATATTTTGCGTATGGATTTGCTTCAGAGAATTAGTAAACAAATTCTAATGTATACATATATTTTTCTGAGCTGAGGATTTATAGCTTTATGAGCAAAACTACCCGATTGTACAACAGTTACTAATAACCACATTAGAATTGGGCTCAATATCAAGTGTTTTCCAAATTATTATGGTTAGAAATGTTACTGAGATGAGATTTATTTTACAAGGAACAGTTGTTTCAAAATAACATAACACATTGCCAATGATAAGAAACTAAATTACCAACTACTTCTATAAAATATTATTTTAAACACATTATTTCTTCATTATATTCATGTGTGATTACCTTATTCTTGGTGTGAAGAAATTTACCCCATTCTTCTGCATCCACCCCTGGAAAAAGAAAAGCTCATTTATTGGAAACTATGAAAATTACTTTTTATCCTTGATTAGGAATTGAAAAAGGCAACATAATAAATCGTTACTTGTTTCTATTTTGCCATTAACTATATGTTAGCAAGTGTTTTAAGATCTGCTAAATTATATTTTTCATACTAAAAATTATGTATTTCAAAAACATGACTAACTTTAAGTAGAGTAGCTCACAGTCTTCTCACCATTTGAAGTTAGATTTTACAAATAAATTGTTTACTTCTGTTCACATTTTATATGTAATTATATTATAGTAAAAGGTATATTCCTTTTTGTAAATGTCATACACATAAAAGCAATTTTTCTAATTAACATACTCAATTAAGTTAATGGCTAAGAAGGAAAACTAAGAATTCTGTTGACAATGCAAAAAGCTTTTGTAACATTTGCATACATAATGCAAGGTAAAAAATTACAACATGAGAAACAGGTAATTTTTCAGCTTTTTAAAAAATTTAGTTTCCTATTGATTACCTATAAAGTCACAATCTGCAGTTCCCTTTAAAAAAGCCTTATCTGTATTATGTAGCTAAACACTTTGGGGTTTTTTGCCTTTTTTTTTTTAGCCAGGGATTGGGTTTGAACCCACCCCCTTCAGCATACGGGATTGGCGCCCTACCCTTTTGAGCCACAGGCACCACCCTGTAGCTAACTGCTTTGTAATTTGCATACACTTGTTTTCTTTTTTTTTTGAGACAGAGTCTCACTATGTCATTCCAGGTAGAGTGCAGTTGCATCACAGCTCACAGCAACCTCAAACTCTTGGGCATAAGCGATTCTCTTGCCTCAGCCTCCCTAGTAGCTGGGACTACAGGCGCCCACCACAACGCCCAGCTATTTTTCGTTGCAGTTGTCATTGTTTAGCTAGCCCAGGCCAGATTCAAACCCACCACCCTCTGGGCACCAAGCCAATTTGCTTACACTTTAAAAGGTGATTTTTCCCCAAGATAAAGACTATGTTTCCCCTAGAACTAAAGATAGAAATGAAAGAAGAAAATGGAGGCAAAGGGAAAAAAACCAAAAGCCCTAGTATATATGTTGTATGGAGTTACCACTCTCCATTGCTTCCAATCATAGGTCTGTTCCTCTTGCACTTGCTGTAAAAAGGAAAATATTTCCTTTGCACTGTATGAAATGGTCTAAAACTTTGGGAGCAAGTTTTGTTCTGCTTATCCCAGAGAAAATGGGAGTTTAATTATACAAAGGTAATTAACTATACCTCCCTTAAGCGCAGCTTTTTTGCTTTTGCCAAATTCAGAGAAGTTTAAAATGATTTAATGATTAAATTATTGGAATAATGTATATCGGCCATCTGAAATAAAAATAAAAATGACTATAAGATACTTGGATAAACATTTATTGAGGAAAAGGTGGATCAATTATTTGGTGGAATAAAGGCAAATAAAACTGGATCCTTTTTCCAAGTAAAATGCTCACCTACTTGAAGCTTAATACCTTCTTCCAAGAAGACTCAATGGAGGACTGGAGTAATCTAGGTGAACAGAACTCACAAAGGCAGGTACTACATACTAAAGGAGTGGTTTTAATTTACCCTACTATGTAAAAGAGGCCTAGCTTCATAAGCATGTGTTTAAAAATAAAAATAAATTACATTCACAACCAAAAAAGCTTGCATTTTGATGCAATGCCAAAAAAAAAGAATAACAAGAACCACTAAAACCTGCAATCAATGTGGATCGGCAAATAAAAATGGAAGGAAAAAAAATGCACACAGCCTGTAAGAGTACAAAAGCACACATGCAGGCATAAAAGAAATAGAAGGGCCAAAAACAAATGGATACAGGAAACCTTTAGAAAGGTGTCTTGAGTTTTTCCATGAAGCAGGGTCTGTATTTAAAGAGAAACAGCACAGATTAAGTTTAGTGCTTATCCCTAAAATTTTAAACCTTTTTAAAAAATCAAATGTGCAGAAACCCGATCACATTCCAAAAGCACATAGCATTCAACTATTCAAAATTTACAGCTTGAATCAGAGGGATGTTTGTAATGTTTCAAGTGATAGAAGCCAAGTATATTGTGTGCCATAATTTATTTTAAACATTTTTAGAAAACAAATTTCCTGTTATAATTAGTTATCTCACCATGGCTTCTAATTCAGATATAAATGGTTTATAATTAATGCACTATTCAAAAATTTGCCTGGGGTATCTGATAACCCACTATGTCAAAAGATAAATTGCCTGATTAAAAACAAAGAATCTACAAAGTATACTAAATATAATCTTTCAAATCTTAAGAGTTAATAAATATATACACATATCTGTCCTATTAGCTAAGACTGAGTTTTATAAGGGTATTTTCTTCAAAATATGTATGCAATTTAATATTACACCACAGAAAGTTAACTTCATCTTCATAGATTCAAGTCAAAGGGAGACTACTATTTGTATCACGTCCTGTTACCCAGAAAGATTAATCCTACCATTTTCCTTTAATTCTTTTGAGACATAGTCCCACTATGTCACCCTCGGCAGAGTGCTAAGGCATCACAGCTCACAGTAACCTCAAACTCCTGGGCTTAAGCAATTCTCTTGCCTCAGCTCCCCAAGTAACTGGGACTACAGGTGCCCCCGACAATGCCCGGCTATTGTTTTTGTTGCAGTTGTCATCATTGTTTAGCTGGCTAAGGCCAGGTTTGAACCTGCCAGCCTCAGTGTACGTGGCTAGCGCTATAACCACTGTGCTACAGATACCAAGCCCATTTTCCTTTAATTCTTACGTATAATTTTACTGCTATTTGGGACCAACTAATGCTTTTACAAGTAATTTAACTGGGTGGTAATATTCAAATTATTCCCAGATTTTTAAGCATTAATCTATGAAGCATATATATTATATTTTTTAAAACAACCAAAAAAAACTTTTGCTTTAGTTCAACAACTTTTCTCTCCCCAAAATAAATTCTATTCTTATAAATTTTCAGGTTTCTACTGACATTGTTCAGAGATTTAATATATAATTTTAGTCTTTAATCAGCATGCAACTTATATACTTTGTCTAAGAGGAAATCTGAGAAAATCTGATTTTTTACAAATATGTGAAAGATAATAGTGGAGTTCAAAATTCAAAGTAAATAACTTTCTCACTCTAAAACACAGTTTTTTTAAAATTATTTGTACAGGGGGACAGTATCTTACTATTGCTCAGGCTGGAGTGAGTACAGTGGCACAATCATAGCTCACTGTACCCTGGTACTCTCAGGCTCAAACAATCCACTTGTCCCAGCTTCCAGAGCAGGTGGGACTACAGGTATCTGCTATATTTTTTGTAGAGATGAGGGGCTCATTGTGTTGCCCAGGCTGGTCTTGAACTCCTGGCCTCAAGCAAACCTCTCCCCCGAGCCTCCCAAAGTGCTGAGATTACAGGTACGAGTCACTGTGCCTGGCCTTAGTTTTGCTTTTAATAGGGATTGGATGTAATTTCTTTTTTTACATAGGTAGAAGTGGGGGCGGAGCCAAGGTGAGAACACCATGAATCTACACATTGACACCTCAGTTATCTCATAAAGTTGGCAGAATAAAGAATCTCATGCTAAATAAATTTTCCTGATAATTCAATCATACATATTAAACACTAAAATATCTTATTTTAGTCCGTTTTAATGGACCCATATCTAAAACAGACTACAGTTCTCCACATCATCTTAGAATGTACTACTGTACTCTTAATCACATTCATAATTTAGGCCTTTGTTACATAAGAAAGCTCTCATAGGCAATAAATCCCTACACGAAATGGAATGACTAATTTTTTTCTTTTTTTAAAGTTTGCTGTCTGGTTATATCTTCCTCCCTTTCTCTTCATCGTCAGGCCGTCAGGTAGTTCATGCTCTTCTAGCTAACTATAGTTTATCAGCTTCAGCTTTCTAATGTCCTCTGGGTTACAGTGATTTATGATGAGCTAAAATTTTTTATCCCAAGGATGAAGAGGCTCTGATGAGAGGCTAAGGAATTATCTTAGAATAAGACATGAGAAATTTAGTACTTAAATTTATGAAATCTATTTTATGTTCTAGGTAGCTGAGCTGTCATTTTAAGTGAGTTTGTTTTATTTATATATAAAAAATAATCACCAAGCTTATAAAATAGATAGATATGTATGTATATACAGGTAAGAAGTAAGCAGATTTACTGACTGGCCACCAAAAAGAGACATCAACACACACAGTAGATATACAAGCAAAGAGATACCAAGGAGCTGGCACTTCCATAGCTGAAATGTACATACCCTTTTCAAACAAGCAAAATTTTATCTAAGGAAACACTGCCCACATCTACAAATAGTTTCTGAGAAACAGGATCTGCCCTTTCAAGGTGACTGAAGAAAATGAAAAGTTACAGAATCCTAATGCCATACAGTTTCTTAAAGTCTTAATTTCAGGTGTTTGATAAGGGTTATCTGATGAAATCAGTTAGTGGGGATGAAATTTTTAAAATGTTATTCTATATATTTGGAGCTGAATCACAGGGAAATCCAAAATGATTAAATTCCAGCTTCAGAATTTCAATAATATCACAGAAATTCAAAGTGATGAATAACATATCAAAAATAATATAATTTAAAAGTTCCCACATATCTGCTAGCAGTCTGTCCAAAAATATTACTATCTACAACTTCATTAACTTGCCCCAGTGGTTAACATTTTAGAGTCATACTAAATGCTCATTATAGGTTTTTCTCCCTTTAAAAAAGAAATCATCAAGTCAGCACCACCAACAGCTCCTATATGAATAAAGAAAAAAATCAGGTGAAGAAGTTGAAGTAACTTCAATTTCATCAATGCTATCATCCCATCTTAAATCAGAAAATAAGAAGTATAATAAAACTGCATTGAAAACTGCATCTGCCTCTGCAGATGAGACCAGACATGGTTCTGTGCTACAAAAGTAATTTAATAATTAGAGATATTTTACAGACTTTTATAAATAAGACAGAAAGTCTGAGCCAAACACTGAACTAAACAGGAAGATGAAATACATTACTCTCATCAAATATAAGTATGATTAATGTAGTGTACACATTTAATAAGTAACTTAAAATCTGATAGTCACAAACAGCATTCCTTAAAACATTTCAGTTTAACCAAAAAGAACTGCTAAAAACAACAATGCATAGTTTTTTATTTTAATCCTATATATTTACTATTCATATAGTCCATTAAAGAGACAGCCTGAGTTTAGCTGAAAACTAATCCTGAACATGAGGGTGGGTGGGAGGGTACTTAAAAATCAAAACGGTATGTGCTATTCAGATAAACCTTAGCAAGAGAAGGAAAGTAAACTAATAATAATTTAAAAATTGAAGGCCAGGTGCAGTGGCTGACGCCTGTAATCCTAACACTTTGGGAGGCAGAGGCAGAAGGATCACCTGAGGCCAGGAGTTCGAGACCAGCACTGAGTAAAAAAAAAAAAAAAATTAGCAGGGTGTGGTGGCACAGGCCTGTAGTCCTAGCTACTTGGAAGGCTGAGGCAGGAGGATCACATGAGCAAAGGCATGAGACAGCAGTGAGCTATGATGAGGCTACACACTCTAACCTAGGCAACAGAGACTGTCTCAATAAAAATAAATAATAATTTTATAATTAAAACCCTTCCCATAAATAATATTCATCTTACACTACAAGGCAAAAGAATCAAAATTAGCAGGTACACGGCTCAGCGCCTATGGCTCAAATGGCTAAGGCGCCAGCCATGTACACC